TTCTTGAACTGGGGAGCCCAGCACTGGACACAGCACTGCAGATGGGGCCTCCCCAGGGCAGAGCAGAGGGGGAGGAGAACCTCCCTCGCCCTGCTGCCCACACTCCTCCTCATGCACCCCAGGATCCCCTTGGCCTTCTTGGCACCTAGGGCACGCTGCTGGCTCATGGTCACCCTGTCGTCCCCCAGCACTCCCAGTCCCTCTCCACAGTCAGCTTCTTCTGCTTCACCTGACCCCGCCTGAACCTGCACCGACCTCGGTGCTGGGCACTCCTCCACCGAGGACAGCAATCGGCAGCGCAGGTCGCAGTAGTCTGCCAGCACCCCACGACAGCAGGCTGCCACACTGCCGCTCGCAGCCATCAGAGACTGGCACTATCTCATGACACCAGCGTCGAGGGAGTGGAGGTGACCATACTTAATCATCTTTGAGGATTTACAGAGTCGTCGTTGTAAAACCGGTCAGCACTCAACACCCTACAGCTTACGGCTTTGTGCTGCCCCCCTGCACCCCACCCTGCAGTGGCAGCTCCTCCTGAAACCCACAACTCCCAGCTACTACAAGACGTATTCCTTACTTCTAGGTATTCTCCAGCTCAGAAACAAAGTTTGCTCACGTATGAATTTGACATTTTAGGACACCACAAGCCCCTGGGTAGTGCTGCTGCCCTTCATGCCACTGCTGAAGGAGGGAATGCAGGACACAGGCCACGGACCAGCACCCAAACCCTTGTGTTAATTCACACCTCCTTCCAGGGAAGAAGCAGAAGCTGCAGTCCAGAAGCTGAGTTCTGCGGGACTCATCACACGCTCCACGGGTCACAACAAACAGCCCCGTTCCGGGATCTGACAAACGTTACTCACCTCATCTATGTTCCTGAGCCACTTGCTGATGTTACTCACCTCATCTATGTTCCTGAGCCACTTGCTGATGTTACTCACCTCGTCTATGTTCCTGAGCCACTTGCTGATGTTTTCAAAGCTCTTGGCGTTGGTGATGTCGTATACTAGCATGATCCCCATGGCACCTCGGTAATAGGAGGTGGTGATGGTGTGAAATCGTTCCTGCCCTGCTGTGTCCCTGCAGAAAACGGACAAGAGCACAGATGAGAGACAAGCTCCAGAGAAACCAGCACGGTGTAGCTACCAGACCAGGGCGCACGGCGTGGGACGTGCTCTACCACAGCACCGCCGAGGGATGCGCGACGCTTTCCAGGAGTGGCAGGACACACTCCAGTGTGCAGCAGCTTCAAGGAAGGCCCAATCCCTCCCAGATGTAGCAGAACGCTCAGAGAACAAAAAGGGCAAGTTTCCGTAAGCCAGGCTCATGAGGGTACAGAAACTTAGGGCTTGAAGTTTCTCTTTTGGAATTTAAAGGTGATTATTTTTTTTAAAACACATTTCAGAGCCAACTACGAGGGAGATAAAAGACACTGGACTGCTTAACTGGGCCCACACGTCTCAGGTGGCAGAAGACGAAGCTACCCGTTGAATAGCTGCAGCAGGTCTTCTGGTATCTCACCACAACAAAGAAACCCCGTGTCAAATCATGGTAGAAATTTGTTAATTTTAAACTTTGTATTTGTATTTAAAATGTGAAACTTGCACCCAAAAGGAGAAACTTTCATTGCCAAGACTCATATCTCAGGGAAGCGGCTCAGAAGTCTTCAAGACTCACAGAATCCCAGCATGGCAGGGGTTGGAAGGGACCTCTGGGGGTCACCCAGCCCAGCCCCCTGCCCAAGCAGGGTCACCCAGAGCAGGCTGCACAGCACCGCGGCCAGGCGGGGCTGGAATATCTCCAGAGAAGGAGACTCCACAGCCCCTCTGGGCAGCCTGGGCCAGGGCTCCGTCACCCTCAGAGGGAAGAAGTTCTTCCTCGGCTTCAGCTGGAGCTTCCTCTGCTTCAGTTTGTAAACTTGGTGGAACCCAGTAGCAGACAGGACGAAAAGAGGAGCAAGACACACTCCACCAACACTTTGACGGGACTGTGAGCTGCAGCGCCGGGAGCATCTGAACAGCCCCAGAAACATCGCCGTCCCACACCCTCTGTCCTGCTGCTGACGAGTTCTTCCCAAAATGATGGTGAAAACAGACCGCTTGAAAACCCCATCTACAATTTTTAAATTGAATACCATCACCACCGATGGTTGCCTGATGAGGCACTGCACAAACCCCGCAGATTCAGCGCTCAGCGTTCTGTACGAAGTCCCCCAGTGCTGTAGGTTGCTCTGTGCTGCTGTCAAGGGCAGGAGAGACTGGAACTGCAGGAGCCAGGATGTGACCCAACTACCCAGGCAACAGCACCGCGATGCCCGAGAAGATCCCTTCCCACCTCAGCAGCTGCTGAGCTGTCACCATCACTCCACGTTTTCTGGAATTCAGGCTTAACATGGAGAACAATTTTCTTTTCAGATCAATTTTATAAAGCTTTAGCTTACCTTACAAATGTATCTTCCTGAAATTTTAGATCAAAGTATATGAAAAGCAAATCTAGAAGCTGTACTGCAACATTAAATTATTAATTCCTATAAGAAAGATGCTGAAAACTGATCACACAAGATTAAGGACAGATGGATTTTCTCATCTCGTTTTGAGATCTTCGATGGAACGCATGAGATTTGGTTACCCAAACTCGGTTGCCATTAAGTTGAGAATTAAGAGTTAACCACGTATTCTTTCAGAGGACACACACCTTGACAGATTGCATGTTCAGAGAAGTTTCCAGTGACACGAGGCAGAACCAAAGGCGTCTCCAAATTCAAACTGGTCTAAACGGAGATTAAACACTCCCTAGCTGCCGTCAGGAAGGCACAGCGTGCCGCCCCGACCCACATCTCCTCACTCACAAACCAGACCAGAAAAGATCATGAACTGGAGCTGAACAAGGTCAACCCATTTCCCTCTCAACTGCTCCTGAGGCCGCAGCGAACGCTTGGCAGAACACAGATACCACCAGGCACTGAGTCCTGTGAAAACTCAGCTCTCTCCCCACCCCCTCGTCACCTGCGGTTGAACCAACCAACACAAAGCTCTTTTCAGGGGTGCCCAGTGACAGGACAAGGGGCAATGGGCACAAACCCAGGGAGGCTGTGGAGTCTCCTTCTCCGGAGATATTCAAGACCCGCCTGGACAAGATCCTGTGCAGCCTGCTGTGGGTGACCCTGCTTGGGCAGGAGGGTTGGGCTAGATGACCCACAGAGGTCCCTTCCAACCCCTACTATTCTGTGATTCTGTGAAAGGTAGTTGCCAAATTTATTTGATTAAGCACACGTCAGACTTCTGGCCAAGTATCAGTTGGCAAATGGGGAGGGAATCAGAAGCCCTGGTGTCTGAAGATGCCACGGAGGAACCTGTCCTGAGATGCAGGGGGAAGCGCTCTGCAAAGTTTCTTCTCAAAGAGCCTTCCTGGCTCTGTTTGGCTTGGACCTCAGACCACGGTTTCAGCACACTCAATGGCCGCCCAAGAGGCTGATCGCTCCCGATCACTGCTCTCCTCCTAGGAGATGACAAACACCAGGAGGAAGGCAAAGAGCAGACGAGGAGGAACAGGTCCTCAACCCAAGCACCGCTTTGCTCAGAGATGTTCCAAAAGACCACGCTACGCAGAGGTCCGGCTCGCTGGCCGTAGCCTGGAGAGGCAACCTGGTTGGTTCCCCAGCTCCACCAAACCTTGAGGGACAGCCACACCAGTCCCGAAAGGTGCCTGGCGTTCTGCCCATGACCTCTGATGACTGCTGGCTTGAATCCCCTCTCTCATTTTTCCTTTATACCCTGTTTGAAACTCTCTCCTGATGGCACCCTCGGGTTTTCCTTAGTGCAAATTAAGGCCGTCCATCCTTGTCTTGCCTTTCGTAGGTAGAGGAGTTCCCTTCCCTTCTTCCTACAACTACTTTTTGCACACTCAAACACAGCTCTTGCGCCTTCCCTGAATTTTCTCAAGCTACCTCAAGCTCTTCAGACCTTACTCGTTGGCCAAAGGTCTAAGCTACGCAGCATCACTTCTTACTCTTTGGACTCCCTCCGATTTGCCCTCATCTAAGGAAAAGCCAGGACGCTACTCCAGCCTTACCAGCCTCACAGGGGAATATTTTCTAGAAGACTTGGGCATGCTTGTTTATGCACCCCACGCCCTTTCCTCTTGACGAGGCTGATTTTTCTGACACTCGAGTAACTGATTGCACACACTGAACTTGATAACTTGGCATTTGTCTCGACTGAATCTCACAGGACTATTTTTCAGTGACATTTCTCCAACTCATCAAAAGCAATCTGAATTATAATCCAGTCCTCTACACAAATTAGACTTTGCAACTTCACCTTCTCCTGCTTAAATACAATAACCATACTCTCTGTTCCCTTATCCCAGCCCTTAAAGAAAACAAAGCCTATCGTGAAACTCAGGAGACAGACTCCTGCAGAATATCTCAACAGAACTCCTACTCACACATCATTTATCTTCTCTCGCCATGAGTTTTGCATCCACCTCATAGCATCTCCACCCAAGTCACTGCCCCCAAACTTGCTGATATCAAGCAGGACAGCGTCAGAAAAGCCTCACCAAAAGAAACCCATCATGACAGGTGGCACGGGTGATGGCTCCCCTCCCGACAAGGCCAGCAGCCGCCACGCTAAGAATTCAGATTGATTTTACACAACTCGGCGTTGGCAACACTTAGTTGTTACTCATTGCTTGTCACGGCCTACGTGCCTACAACTAACTTGCTCATTTAACTCCTCCAGTGTTTTCTCTGGCAGCTGAAGCTAAGCTAATGGACGAAAAGAAAGCTGGGGAGGGGAAAAGCAAAGAACCCAGAGTGTTGTGTACACCACCCCCCCCTTTTTTTTTTTCCTTAGGTACTATATTTGCCCTTTCCCCTCTTAATGGATTCTCCATTCATTATTCAGAGATAACTCTTAATGGATGCGAGATCGGAGGAGCGACCGAAGCAGAGGAAATGAGTTATGGTTTGCAAACTGCCCACCACTGACGAATCCACCCCGAGCAAATGGCAGGAGGCCATCGCAGACCGCGTGTCTTGGTTCCTGCCCTGGCTTTCCAGTCTTTTGTTCAAACCTCGAGGATGTCAGGGCATGCTCCAAAGCTCCACGTGCACAATAAATCCTTGATGTAGGCAAAACCATTTGTGGCAGCCAGCTAGCTCTCCAAGCTGGAATAAACCTAGACAAGGACTGTTCAGACAGCCACGGAAAATGAAGCCCCGCTGCACAGGAGGAGATGGAGAGAACTTGCTCTGTTTAGCTGCAAAATGAAGACAAAGCAGGTCGTCCGGGGGGCTAGGGAAAGGAGAAGCACAAGTGAAAAACAGATTTAAATTATTCTGTCAACATTAAAGTATGCATAAGCTATGCCATATTAGAAGTTTAACCAACAGGGAAAGGAATTTCTGGGACAGCTTTCCAGCTGACCTAGCAGAGATTGAAGAAACCTTAAAATGTACTATGATTTATCAAAGATTCATACGGATGCAACGAGATTGTATCTGATGATCTGTGAAGATCCTTCCAGCCCGCACAGCTCAAAATAAAGGTCTTCAACATATTAAAACAAGTAATTCCTAGCAAAATAATCCGCAGAATTTTACTACTGTCCCACTGTTTCTTCTTATAACATTTTTAAAACTACGCAGCAGAATATTGGATTGGAAGAAGCTGCCCTGCCAACGTCAGGCACACTCCGGAAGCGTTACCGACTGGGTCAAAGACTTTCCTTCACGAAGGAACATCTGTAAGATACTTCAGGACCAACAAATTTCACATTTTCCAAAAAATATTCAGCCAGTAAAAAAAAAAACAATAAATATGATGAGTGAAGCATCTAACTGTTTTACCCAAAGTCAGACTGACTTGCCAAGGGTCTCTCCCACCTCGAGCGATGCACGTGGTGAGCAGTCTCCACAGCTCTCAGCAGCAGGACTTGTAGACGTTCCTAGGTTCACTGCAAAGATTCATGAGCCTGACCAGCGTACGCTGGTTGGTGGTGCTGTGCGCAGCTCTGGCTTCTCCCCACCGGACTTCTTCAACACCAGGGCCTGCACGGAGCAGGGCATTTATTTCCAG